GACAAGGGAGTGGAATCCCCGTGGTGGCACAAAGCCAGTCCTCACTGCATGCCTCGGCTGACATGCTGCACAGCCCTGCCCTAAGCCAAGTGGTCTGCTTTCCCAGAGGCAGGAGAAGGAGAGGGGTGAGGGTCTGTGTCCAGGAAACAAAGCAGCTGAAGGGGGAGGCAGGGTAGGGCCCATGGTGGTGTGGCTCCTCCTGAGGTCTTTCTGACATGTGTCTGCTGAGGCCGGGCTGTCAGTTGGTGGGACTCCTGGTGGGCAAATGGGTGAGTTCAGTCTGCTGATCCAGGAGTGTATGTCCGGGCACAAGCAAAGACACAGTCGGAGGACTGTCAGCACTGTTGGAACCCTCCCAGGCTGGGACTGGACAATAGGGTGGTGGCAATTAGGCACAGTTGTCCCTCCTCCCAGGCAGCTGTCTTCCACATCCTGACGCTGTCGCCCACGTCATGCTGCCCTGTGCCAGGCGTCCAGGTGACACAGAGCTCTGAGGAAGGGGCACCTGGGAGCAGAACCTTCTTTCCCACCTGTCATTGAGTTGCCTGTCCCTGAGTTGAGCCCCAGGTTCTCCCCACAGCCCTGCCCGCTTCCCCACCCATTGCAGGAGAGCACCGTCCTTCAGAGGTCAGAAAAAGTTAGCAGAGAGGGCAGCTGAGGAGCGTGAGAAAGCAGCAGAGGCAGAGGGGAGGCTGATGTTCTCTGCAAAATGACAGCGGGTGTTCTTCATGTGGGCTGGGTCTCAGGGCCAGTGATGGGCGTGTGTGGGTTCAGCCATACCAGCAACTGCATCCATACAGTGGAAACACACCTGGTCCCACCCTCCAGATGCCCTGTGTCTGGGACCTGGATTTGCAGTGTTCCAGTGTCCCAGAGGTCCTGGATTCTGTCTCCTAGCACACAGCCCCCCAGCTTCTCCCAGTTGCCTAGCTGGAATGCAGGGTGGAGCCCTGAGTTCCCCACCACTAGACCTGGGCCAGGAGAGGTGGCAAGGGGAGAGGCAGGTGTCAGAGGCTCAGCACTATTTCTGGAGTCTCCTCAGCTTAACTGTCCCCTTTCATGTGCGTCCAATGACACTTGGTTCACACAGAGAGCAGAGCTTCTGCAGGGCCTGGACAGGTGGCTGCACCATAGGGGATCTTCTGGAAGCACTCCCAGGGTACCTCAGAAGCCTGAGTGTGGGGACAGCTTGCTGATGAAGGGCTGAGGGCCCCAAGCTGGCTATGAGAAGCTGCCCAGCTGCTTGTCTGCATGAGCCACTTGCTTGGACTGCCTGGGACATTCTTCCCCTCTTCTGTCTCCCCTGGTGTCTGCTCCTTCCATGAAGTGGTTCTGGTCAGCCCAGGAGGGAGGCTGCAGCCCTACTTTGGCACTCACACAGTCGTTGCCTTGGAAAACCATTTTGCCGAGGAAGCTGTTGCCACCATCCATGCTATATCTCACGATGACCTTCCTAAAGCATAGAAAAGGCAGATAGTGATCACAGTATGGATAGGTATACTTCTTGCATTTGAGTCAGCTATAGTCAATAGTTTTGTTTATTGCAATGGTTTTGGCCATCAGGCATTGGGTCCACCAGTGAGCATACAGTATGGGTAAGGGGGGCTCACCCCAAGCACTACAAGGTCAACTTCTGCAGTGAAGACTGACCAGGCATGAGGAGACTTACATCGGGTCAGATGCCCTCTTGGCCATGGGCTAAGTTTCCAGGGAGCGCAGCTTGGTGTCACCATCCTGACTCTTTATTTATAGAGTATGTTGACTTAGCTCTGAACAGCTGTCTGGAACAAAGTTACCATCACAGGGTACATCATCTCCCGAATGCTACATTCCTCAGCAGAGCCAGGGATGAGGGAATCCTTGAGTGCCTCTGGGGACCACCACCAAGGGCATGTGCTGAGGATGCCTGGAGCCCTCCCTGAATTAGACACGTACTACCCGTAGCTTGGCATCCCATGTTCTGTATACCTCATGGTGGCAAAAATGCCCATCTGGCCCCTGTCCTGGGGCACTTACTGTTTGTCGGTCTCAATTATATGTCCAGGGCACATTATACTTCTTTCCGTTACTTTAAGCGCTTTTCTATCTGAGAGACAATCACAATAGAATAATGTCAATGTCATGTCCATTCATCCATCTCTTCTTTTCTGCCAGCCTCTGGCAAGCAGAGTTAACACTTTGAAAGATATCAGCTTCTCCTCTCTGCATTCCTCTGAGCCCCTACTGTGCACCAGGTCCTCTAGAATGCTCTGGTTGGAATGGAAGAGACAGGCTGAGTCCCAGTTCCCAACAGCCTTACATTTGAGGGACTGGAGGGAAGACAAACATTGAAATAACTAACAAAGAACAAAATAGGGGCACCTGGGTGGCTCAGTCGGTTAAGCGTCTGCCTTCGGCTTAGGTCATGATCCCAGGGTCCTGGGATCGAGCCCCGCATCGGGCTCCCTGCTCAGTGGGAGGCCTGCTTCTCCCTCTCCCACTCCCCCTGCTTGTGTTCCCTCTCTCGCTGTGTCTCTCTCTATCAAATAAATAAAATCT